TGCAGGTAGGGCAGGGCCTGCTGCAGGTGCTGGCCCCTTCGGCTCACGTCCTTTTCCATCTGCAGAGAGTAGGGGGGTGTCTGTGGTTGCAGCAGTGGGCAGCGGTGCGCAGGGCCAGCCCCACACACTGGGCATCGGGGGCTTCTCCAACCTGGGGCTGGGCCTTTGCACTTGTCCTTACCAGGTAGTCACGGAACCTGAAGGGCTGCCCTGTCTTCAGCAGCTGCTCCAGGTCCTTCCTCTTGAGGAAGCTTGCAGCCCGGAGCAGCGCTTCCCGAGCGACCTGCAGAGCAGCAGAGAGCGGGACATGGCACCGCAGCCAAGGGCACAGCCCCTGTGTCCCTGCTCCAAGGCCAGCAGGAGGCTGGAGCCCTTGAGGCCCCAGGGCAGGAGGCAGCCCAGCCCCTGCCACGGGGACACCAGAGCCCAGCAGTGCTCACCTCTGCCACGCGCTGGTTCTCGTCGTGCCAGCGGAAGAACAGTGGGACCAGGCTCTGGCGCACCTGCATCTGCCAGGGCTCTGTTCCCTCTTCCGCCAGCAAGTCCATCACCTCTCGGAAGAGGCGAATGGAGAGCAGCTGCACGTGGCTGTTGTCCTGGGGCCAAAGAAGAGACAAAGACCTCAGCACTGCCTGCTCCAGGCCCACCAGGCCCACCAAGTTTCCTGGCAGCAGCCAGTGCCTGTGGCTGGGGGCACAGAGCCTTACGTTGTCAAAGACTGGCCGGAGCGCCTCAGCCAGCCTCGGGGCAGTGGAGCTGAGTCCCTCCCTGTCTTGCTCATCCTGGAGCACATTCAGGAACGTGGAGAGGGTCATGGCGACCAGCTCTCCATCTCCATCACGCAGCAGCTCCAGGAGGTGCTCAGACAGGCTGCAGATGCCTTTGGCCTGTGTGGAACAGAAGGTTGTGCTGGGAAGCCCTGAAGAGCTGCCCCACCACCCCCATTCTGGCACTGCAAGCCCACGCTGCTGCCCCGGGGCCCAGAGGCCTAAGGCCTGTCCTACAGGGCCTGGGCAGCTGGAGAGGGAGGCAGGAGAGTTGGCAGCAGCTGCCACAGCTCCCGAAGTCCAGCACAGGCCAAGTCACTGCCCTCCCCAGCCCCAGGCTGCCCGTGTGGCTTCAGTCCCTGCCCCCTTCTCACCATTGAGGAATCCCTGCTGAGTACCAGGAGCCCTCGCAGAGCCAGGCGCCGCCTCTCTGGGCATTGGCTCTGCAGGTGCCTTGCCAGCATCTGCAGGACACTGTCATGACAGGTGCTCACGTCCAGACAGTCGAGGACCTGGAAGGCAGAGAGCAGTGCCGGGGTGTGCGGGCGGCAGGAGCACGGAACCGTCCAGGGCTGGGCCCTGGCAGCAGCACAGGGC